GATCGCCTGTGATTGTTTCAGTCGGTTTTAACAGTTCATAATACACTACGCCGAGCTGGTCCCACCAAATACAGAGCATGACCTTGGACGTCAAAATCACTGTTCTTGAAGCGTTGAAACCACTCACGACACATTCTTTCACTAATAGCGGCCTCACCATAAGTATTTGAGAGCATTCGATGAGCCTCAGCCGCAGATTTCTTCATATTGAAGCAAAAAATTAAAACCTCCCGCAAATGACGAGAATTTGGCTCGTAAACTGACATTTTCAATCGAGAATAACTTTATGATGCAGACACAAATCGACTAATGTTTCTATGGGGTTATGTTGACAGATGCCCAAGTTTATTGTATGACGTCTATGATCTATTTATTTCGACCACCACTTACCGCTAAAGCCTCTATAGGAAAACGGCGGAAGCAAAGTTGTACACCTAATATTTCTGTATATTACACTGTATTATGTAATATTTCTGTATTATGTAATATACTGCAATACTGCTGCGATATTATTGTGATATTACCTGATATATAGGAATTAATAATGCTTTTGTGATGTTTTATTAACATTAGAAGTGTCGTTAAGATGTTATTAAAAGATCACAAAATTATATGTACGCGCACATAATTTTATGAGTGATATTTAGTTTATTATAACGTTTTCAGTTTATAATATTATTATATAATAGTTATTTTGTATTGACAATCAGTATTATTTTCTAATTAATATTGTATACATAGCGTAGAATGAGTCAAGGGGAACAAAAAAGTCTCATTATTTTGAGATATTCGCTGTAGTTTTCGAATTAAAAAAGGAAACGTATAAGTCAATCTGCGCGAATTCATCTCAGTCGATAGCGGTGGCAATGACGTGTCGCCAAGAATGAGGCACGATGGGCCATGCTACGAATTATTGTGCGGTTTTACTTGGCTTATACGTTTTACTTTACTTTTTAATTCGAAAACAGCAAATATCTCAAAATAATAACAGACTTTTTATTCCCCTTGACACATTATACGCTCCCAATGCAGCTCCTACCTTATTTCTGAGACACTCTGTATATGGGATAATTTTTAAACTAATATTAAGAATATCAATTCAATAAATTCTTTTAAAAAGTCTTTAAAATGTTTTAATTTTTCCCAATAAGTGTTACATAAATATAAACATTGCATATAAATATATATCACGGAAATATTACATAATATTACAGTGATATTTTTGTGATATATCTCAATAATATTCTTGTAATTCATTTTCGCGGACATTGTAATATTACTGTGACATTTTTATATTTCAATGATATTTTTGCTATTATAGATTTCATTGTAATATTGCAATGGAAACATGATATTTGTGTGATATTAATAATTAATATATGTTATGTAGGATACCATGTATTATATTACATTTATATATATTGCTTTTATGTATAGAAGGTAGAAAAGCTATAAGGACACATCAACATCAACACTGTCGTTAAGAGTTACAGAATAAAGAATTCTAAGATATTAATCTGTAACATTTTATTTGACTCAATACATTTTCTTTAAACAAATAATAAACAAATAATATTTTTCAAAATTTCGAATGTTTTTATTCGTAATAGAAATTATTATTAAAGAAAATACATTTATAAGTTTCTTATTTGTTTACTTTTTAATGCAATCCAATTATATAGATATTATTGCTTCTCTTGATGTCTGATGTCTGATTTTATTTTATTGTTGTATAAATTTGGAATATTTTTATATATAAATGCAATATAAATACTATTTTATTATCTATTCTATAATCCTTTTATATTTTAATATATTATATAATATGGATGTAAATATTTCATTCTATACGCATGTCTAAATTGATTGGAGAATGTGTCACATAATAATAAAGAAAAATATAAAGATATTATATAGAGATATTTATTAAATATAGAGATATTATATGATAAAAGGGTGTACAAAAGTCCTGGATCCTTTGAATATTTTGAAAAGTAAACATTTCTGAGAAAAATATTTTATTCAAAAATTGAAAATGATCATTTACTGACCTTATAGCACCAACGTTAAATCAAGGCCAAATTGATTTTTTTAAACAAAACACCTTTTTATTTTAGAATCTAATAGCTAATGTCAGGAGTTTTTCAAAATACTAATGAAGCTTCTTTTTAATCAAGTTGAGACTTAAAAGTTGCAGAACCGCCGGTACGCATCATACGCATCATTAAAAGGAATACGAGCACTTAGCTAATGCTAATGGTTCTGTAACTTTCAAGTCTCATAACTTAAAAAGTACTGATTAAAAAAAGGCTTCATTATAGTGTTTTGAAAAGCTTCTGACATCCGCTATTAAATTCTAAAATTAAAAATAGAATATTTAAAAAATCTTTGACTTTGACTTGACCTTAATAACATCCAAGATCAAATTGATAAGGTCAATAAATAGATCATTTTTAACCTTACAACTTTAGTGTGAAATTTTTCTCAGAAATGCTTAGTTTTCAAGACATTTAAGGGATCCAGAATTTTTGTACACTCTGTATATAAAACTTAATTGTAATCTTTTCTACGACTTTCTTGGAATATTCTTATAAGCTTTAAATATATTCAGTATAATACTATTGATTTATGTATATATATATATATGTATATAGAGAATAATTTCAAATAAAAAATATTTTTTATTTAAAAAATTAAAAAAATTAATTTTCCTTTCTGTGGTCATTCAATAAGTCAACTTGTGATTTTTTAGATGGAAATATCACGAACAAAGATAACTGAGCTATATTAAGAATGAAACCAATTGCATTCTGAAACTAATAATATATCATATTATATTATATATAATATTATTAATATATGTAATATATATTATAAAAATTATTTTTTATAATTGCATTGTAAATACTTACAATAATAAAAACATTGTCAATGATAAAGCCGTACAATAACCACTGAAATGAAACTAATGTACCCATAAATATAAGTGGAAATGGAAGAATTTCTGTGTTTTTCGTTTTTATAACATTTTTCTAAAAGAAAAAACAAATATTTTAATTATATTATCATATTATAACTATGATTAAAATACACATACATATTTTAAAATATTTAAGATATATTAGAAAACAAGATTTGCTCACAAGATGCGCAAGAGGAGCTGCAATTAAAAGAAGGAGAAGTACTGTAACCACAATACCGAATCTAAATTCAACATTTGCTGGATGTTCCATTTGTGCATAGACAAGAAAAATTCCAACAAAGATTGTTACTTTATATATTAATTTAAGTACCTCCTTCTAAAAAAAAAAAAACATTATATAATAAAAAGTGTCGATTAATTACAAATCAAGTATGTTTCAATAGTCAGATAAAGTACCGTATTTGGTGCATAATAATAGTAAATTATCATATAAATCATATTTGTCAATAAACCAAATATATTAATATTTATCATGTTAGAATCACCTAACATCCAAGCGTATCGAAGCATCAATATACACCTAAAAAATTTATTCATTTAGTTACATATTTCAATTAACTTTAATTTTCTTATTATTTATTAGTGTATGAATATGTATATGTACACACGCACACACGCACACGCGCACACGCACACGCGCACACGCACACGCACACGCGCACACGCGCACGCGCACACGCACACGCGCACACGCGCACGCGCACACGCACACGCGCACACGCGCACACGCACGCACGCATGCACGCACACACACACACACACACACGCGCGCGCGAGCGCGCGTATATGTGATAATTATACAGAATAATGTTTTTCAAATTTCGACATTTTTTGGCTGCAATGTTGATAATCTTTATTATGACTTAGATAGTGATAAACAATCGGGGGAGGTCGAAAAACATTAATTTACATATTTTTTAAATTATTTATTTCCAATAGTTGCCATAGTGATTTATTACGTGCGTTCGAACTTCCATGCGAAGCGAGATCTACACTACCTTTCCCCTTGCCTAAGGACGCACAACTTTCCAATGAAGCGACTCGTACCCCACCTCCCCCCCTCCCCCGCTTAGAGGCGCACGACTTCCACGGGAAGTGACTTTCACCCCACCTTTCTCCCTGCTCAGGAGCGTACGACTTTTTACACAAAACGCGCGAAAACATATGAAAAAAATTGTTTTTTAAATTTTGACTTTGTCAGCAATTTTCATTATCATATCCGTCAGGGCATCAAATACAGTAGTATATCAATTGACAAGAAAAATGGGGAGTTCACCTTTTTAGAAGTCTATCCAAAACGATTTCCAATTTTGTCTATTGCATTGCCGATTTTTATTGCCACCAATGATTACGAGCAATTTGATGGCAATACTTAGACAATAATTTTCTTAAATAGACTATGGCAACTGAAGGGAAACTTGTGCTAAGCAATTATTTTCTTTCTTATAATAAGGAGTTTAGTTATTTGGATTAATTT